GAGTTCCTCTCAGTGCGAGCTTCACAGCGATGAGAGGCCGGGCAGCTGTTGGGGGTCCTTGTTTCCTCCGGGACCCCGCGGGATGGGGACCTGCGGAAAAGCGCACAGTGGGGGAGACAGGCCCCGGGGCAAGGGGCAGGGGACCGGAACACGGGTGTATGGTACCTATGAACCATGTTGGGGAAGCTTCTGATTCTGAGTTCTGGGGTGCTATCTAAGATGCTTCTAACAATGTCCAGGTGGTACTGACCCTGCAAACCCTACACCACACCATTTCAAGAAGCAAGCTCACAAGACTTCTGGAGTGTGAGCACACGTGTGTGTGTGTGTGTGTGTGTGTGATGCATGTATGTGTCTGGTGTGTGTGCGCACACGTGTGTGTGTGTGTGGTGTGTGCACACGTGTATGTATGTCTGTGGAGTGTGTGCACACGTGTGTGTGTGGTGTATTATGTGTCTGTGGTGTGTGTGCACACGTGTATGTATGTGTGGAGTGTGTGCACACGTGTGTGTGTGTGTGGTGTATGTATATGTCTGTGGTGTGTGTGCACACGTGTGTGTGTGTGTGGTGTATGTATATGTCTGTGGTGTGTGTGCACACGTGTGTGTGTGTGTATGTGATGTATGTATGTGTCTGGTGTGTGTGTGCACACGTGTGTGTGTGTCTATGAAGTGTGTGCACACGTGTGTGTGTGTGGTGTATGTATGTGTCTGTGGAGTGTGTGCACACGTGTGTGTGTGTGTGTGTGGTGTATGTATATGTCTGTGGGGTGTGTGCACACGTGTGTGTTTGTGTGTGTGGTGTATGTATGTGTGTGTGGAGTGTGTGCACACGTGTGTGTGTGTGTGTGTGTGTGTGTGGTGTATGTATGTGTCTGTGGAGTGTGTGCACACGTGTGTGTGTGTGTGTGTGGAGTGTGCGCACACGTGTGTGTTTGTGTGGTGTGTGTGTGTAGGTGCTTGTGTGTCTCACTGGAACGCCCATTCCCTCATTGCCTTAGAACCTACTTGTTTGGGAATCAAGCATGCACTGCAGACCAGCTGAGCCAGGAGGTGAAAGAGCCGAGGAGTGACCCTGTCACAGCCAACAACAGACTCCTGAGCTCCGCCTGGGCGCAGCCCTGTTCTCACCAGCTCCCACAATCCCATCCTGTGCCACCAGAAGCACACAGCACGATGAACACATATCTGGGAGGTTCTCCACGCCGCCGCCGTTCATTTCCCTCCACAAACTCTAAGTATCTCAATAATTTATTTCACAGCCAGTCAACCCGTCCGATCAATGATGTCAACAAGCAAGTTCAAATTGAGGTCTTTATTTCCAGTGGGGAAGTCAGGGCCTGCAACTCAGGGCGGCATGGAGGTGACAGGACGGAGATGGCCCCTGCTGTCTGCCGGAACAGAAGGGTTGGCTGTGGAAGGGAACACAGGCGGGGCAGGGACAGGGGCCTGGTGTGCAGGGCTCGGCTGGGCCCCCGATTCTTCACATTGAGCCCGTAGGATCACTGGGAACATCAGACACTGTCGCAGAGAGTGAACTGAGGGGCCCTGGATGTCACGGGAGAGGCCTGAACACATTCTCTGCCACTCCGTCCATGCCGGGCAGCTGTCTTCATGTTACAGAACAAGTCATGAACAACAAGCACTGTGATGACAACCACTCACAACCACAGGTGATTCTGGGAGTCCCTGGACCCAATCATGTCCATTTTGTCGTCGTCCCCCCCCCCCCCGACAGCCCATATCAGGTCCCAGAGTGTCACCTTCACAGTCTGCTAAATACATATCAGGTCCCAGAGTGTCACCTTCACAGTCTGGGAGAGACATATCCGAACTCTGGGAACGGTCCCCGCCTAGTGTAAATAACTAACTAACTAAATAAATAAATAAATAAAAATCATAGGAAGATAAAAAAAAACAAACATGGCCCCTAGAAGACTTTGCTGGAGGAACTAACACGGGTTGGGGGAGCTCCACAAATACTCCAGGTCCATCTCCAGGGTCTCAGGGACAATCCTGCTCCCCACACTTACCTGGAGCGGGAGCATAGTTCCCTCCTTTTCCACCTGTCAGAAGAAAAGCTCGTGAGAGACCAGGGATGAGCCTGTCCCTAGGAATTTTCCTCAACCTACAGCAGACCCAGGAGAGAGACAGGAGCAATGGGGGTGGGGGGGTGG